TTAGATTTCCACGTCTTCTTGTTCATATTTAAGAGATTAACTGATCAATCCCCAAGCGGTTACCGGTGACCGTTCCACTAACTCCATTATAAACCTTATTTCCGATGGTTAGAGACTACTTTTGTATGGAATAATTTAAGGGTTTATATCAGGTGATTGTGTACGAGTTACAGGCCGATTTTTCAATTAGCAGTTAATTATTAGGTAACTGTATAATAAAATTAACAACAATTTACAGCTTTGACAGTTGTACAGTCTCTTTTTTGTGCCTTCAGGTTTAATTCATTCGGTCTCCTGCAGTAATTCACCGAGGGAAGTGGAAACTATCATTTTTATCTTCTCCTTTTATAATATCTACTGATCGTTCTGAGTGTTCCGGTGTTTTCATGGTTGTATCTACCTCTACTGTAGATTCTGGCTTACTGGAATTGCAGCGGCTTTCATTACTAGTAACTGTCTTGGATTTAAGAATAGCTATTATAATAGTGTTTCTGTTGCATCCTTTATGGAGATGCGTCAATCACCCATCACGCAGTGTAGTGACGACTATAGAGTAGGCTACAATTGCCACAACCCCATGTCCACTATGTTTAACGTTTTTAATGGAGATCGGACAACAGTGCCTTCTAATAAACCTGATCCTTTTAAGTGCGATCTTCAATCCAGCTACCAAGCGAAGAAATTATGACAAAGTTCTCTTTACTAAAGGAGTAAGTAGTCCAGCACTGATCTCTCACCGGCTTTTAATAACTGACTCCATCTATCGGCCCATTTATGCATGTTACGAGTAATCTAGAATATTGCCTGTACCTAATCCCGGATTGTGGGCCGTTTGGGATCGCGATAACCTTACTAACGGGAACTAGAGCGAGACGAATTCCCGGGATGGCTCATTACATAGAGTGATAACATTAAGTAATTCTAAGTGCCGTTGTATCGGTAACAATGTTGTCTAGACACAGTTCTTCTATAAATAGTAACAAATAGAATAGTAGTACAGTCACTTCTAACTCATATTGTGTCTTAGAGTAGTTATGGTTGGCACGTTTGGCGCGGGGGCTGGGAAACCAGCTGCCGTGCAACGTGTCGCGGGTTCGATTTCCGCACGGAACAACACTTTGTGTGATCCACAAATTATTGTTTCGGGTCTGGGTGTCATTGTGTATGTGAACTTGTATGTTTTTAACGCACCCACGACACAGGAGAAAATCCTAATGCGGGGCAATGTTTTTTTAATAAAAGAAAAAAAAAATTATAGGCTTCGACCAAGGACGTTGAAAAAAGACGGACATAATGTCACTTAGAAGTTATTGTAGTACCAAAATGTTAGTAGGTTATTTATGTGTGCGTGTGTAAATAGTTACCACGTTACCAGACTTAAGAAAATGACAGATGTCCTTCGTGTCCATGTGTTTATGTTTTTTTTATGGAATAAGAGACAAACGTGCAGACGGATCACCTGATGGTAAGCGATCAGCGCCGCCCATGGACACCCGTAACACCAGAGGAGTCACAGGTGCGTTGCAGGTCTTTTAAAAGTTTTGCATGTAAGTTCTGTCATTGTTTCAGGAGACTATGTCCGCCTTTTTATCATCGTCCTTGATTGACTTCGACATATCTATCTATCTATATATATGAAATAAAGTCGTGTTAGTTACACCACTTATAACCCAAGAATGGCAGAATAGATTTGGCTGAAAATTGGTAGGGAGGTAGCTTAGAGCCAAGAGACCGACATAAGATACTTTTTAACCACCAGTTTTTTTTTTAACTTTTTACCGAAAATCACGAACGGGGACGGGAAAAAAAGGGATTACGCGTACGAAGTCGCGGGCAGAAGCTAGTAAATTAATAGTTCAAAAAACAGAAGACAATTTTATCTGACTCAATGACCAAATAATTTAGTTACGATACTTTGTCGGTGTTCTAAGTACTAAAGCAAATAAAAAAACAAAGTTATCAAAATAATCAAAAAGAAAATTTGTTTAACTGTGTGGGCACTGCACTATGGCCCCACAATTAAAAATATTTTAACAACAATTTGTTGTAATAATGACAGTCTGTGGTAAGCCATGGCGGTTAATAGCGAACACATTATGACACTGTGTATCTGTATACCAATTAATTAATTTATAATTAATGGAGAAAAGTAATTCGAGTGTTATCAATGTTTCAACCGTTAAATATAATTATGTAAGCAATCATTGTATACCCTTTTTTATTTTTATTTATTTATTAGGGAAAATTAACAAAATATATCAAAATATATAACAAACGTATAACCAACGAGGTTTTCCACAGATAATAAAAAAAATGGTTAAAAGAAGTAGTACAATTTAGGTAGGCACACTCGTTACATAAATTAAAAAATAACACTTGATTCATTATAGCCGTTTAACTTAGGACTTAAGGGACAACTTCAGCTATGACAATGACAATAATTAGAAACATAGAAAACATAGAAACTAACTTATCATATACATTGCTGCTATTTTTCGGAAACGTTGGATGGAAAATCAACAATAATTTTATATTCATAATAACATCACGCCTTTTATCCCCGAAGGGGTAGGCAGAGGTGTACATTACGGCACTTAATGCCACTGTATAGAGGTAATGTAACACCCACATTTCACTATTTATGTTATGAGTCCCATGTAACAGGGGGTGAGCCTATTGCCATATACCGGGTACAATTCCAGACTCCGTGCTACTACTGAGATTTCTTGAAAAAGCCCAGTAATACTTTGCCCGACCCGGGAATCGAACCCGAGACCCCTTGCCCGGCAGTCGCAATTGCGAACACTCGGCCAACGAGGCAATTTTATATTATAGTATCTATAAAATAAACTAGTTTAGAGACAAAAGAATATAAACTAAAATACTTAGTTACACCTTAAAAAAATATGAAAATGCTATCATAAGCGCTATCGTGAGGTATGGTGCCCAAAAGACTGGCAGCACTGCCCCGTTGAATGGCAATGCTTGACCTTTGTCCAAGGTAGTAGCCAGCCCTTCGATCACCTGAAGTGTCAACCATCCTCCTTACAATATCTTTCTAAAGAAGATGTGCACTTAGGCACTTAGGCCCCACGACCCTAAAGTTTCAACCCCAAACGGTTCGGAAACATAATTGCCAATCAGGCTGTTATACTTTCGCCGTTTGAGGTTCTCGGCAGTAGCAGCGGCAGCACCGGCTCGACACGCTGAGTTTGGAAGATGGGATGGCGCTAGAGTATCAAAGCAAGTGGCATACCAATTATATTACACAATCAACACATCAAACTTGAACCCTCCATTACAATAACAAACATGTGCAACACAATAAAAAACCCTCACAGAAAAACAGTGAGACATAACTCGAGAATATTCGTCGAATATGTACGATTTGTGGTAGCAGAATAATGTGATTCCTACGTGACACGCAAGATGGCGCTCTTGTCACGAGTTGGCCCAATTTATGTAGATGACGTGCTTCTATGGAGTGCACAGTTTGTTCGCGTTCGCAAATAAGGAACGGCAAATAAGGGAGAGCTGACTAAACTGGTGATACTTGCTTGGAATACAGGTATAATATAATATCTTGACTTCACATTTAAAGGGAACAATCATTAAAGTTGTAAACATGTAAACGGTACCACTTCCTTCCTCTGGACATGAGGCGTCATATTGGAGACATGACTATGATTATGCATATCGCAAATGGCCATTTTGCTGAGCTTGTTGCAAAATTAGCATTGCGCACAAACCTAATGTGATTACGTCAGCGACCTATGTGTACCCTTCACATCTACTAACTATATGAAAAATGTTTTTTCAATAAGGAGTGCATTTGAATTTAATAGACTGTCTAAGGAATTTGATATCGACTTATTCTGCACCAGTGTAGCATCCTTGCGACATCAAATCTCACAAAACTTCATCGATGGTTAACTTCTTAGTCTAATTATTCTTCTAGCAATTGATATTTGTTAGTAATTAATTGTCTTCTGTACTCTTTTTTATGCCTTTTTGTTTTTTGGAGGCTTGTAATTAGCAATTTGTCAATATTATACTCTTATAAAATCATTTTCAATGTATTAGTCTGTAAGCCTTCTTAAAATTAATAAATAAATAAAATAAATAAATATTACCTACTAGCTTCTACTAGATAAAAGCAGCCTATAAGTTATTCTAGACCATCATCTACCTTTGTTCCAATTTTCATCCTAATCCCTTCAGCCATTTTGACGTGATTCAGTAACAAACATACACACAAACAAACAGATTCACGTACTTTTTCATTTAATAATCTTAGTAAGACAGTAATACTGGTAAGATGTCGCGGAGAACCTAACGGGTAACCGGGGCTCCGGCTCGACGTGCAGGAGAAGGAACGGGGTGGTTTTTAGTCAGTAAGAGTCTGACACTCCCTTCCGCCTCACCCAGGCGGGAGCAGCCATTCGATGACTTTCCCCCCTTAAAAAAAAAATATGGTCAGATACATAACTTCACGCCTGTCTCCCATGGGGGTAGGCAGACTATGGAACGCCAATTACTACGATTCCTACATACCTCTTTCGCTTCATCAACAGTCATCAATCTCTTCATGCATGCTCGTCGGTTAAGGGTACTTTTAATTTAAGATAAGTTAAGATACTAAGATACTGGTAAGATTTTCTATAGTATAGTACTTATGAGATATATTAGAGTAAATATTTATGTCAAACGGCTTATATACGTAGTTATTTGTCGAAGCAATTAGACGTGAGCCCCAAGCGTCGTTTGAAAATGGTTGAGTTACCTCGTAAGAATGAAACATTGTGTAATCACTTTGTTTCTAATTATGTTCGAAAATTATCCGTTTATCATAATTCCTTGCAAATAATGAAAACATATTGATAATTACTATAGAATGCTACATTCCTTGAATAAAGAAATACTTCAAATGCTATAACAAATTAATGACTGATAATAAAGTATAAAATGACGTTTAAAACACAGAAAATATATTTGCTATTATGCTTGGCGTACTGTCCATCCTATTGTACACCTGGTTGGTTCATATTTTAGTAATTTAACATTCGTTTTATTAATCAGTTTTGTTAAAAATTACTTTCTTTTTAGTACAACAATATTGGGATCATGGGACGGAGTGGAATCGATAGGAGACAAACCTCTAATTTTAACTCCGTTCATTGAAAATGGTGAGGCAAGCAAAGCGAGGGAGCAATCCGAAGTGGATCCATCCCTGTTCGCAGGCGTTAAGAGCTACGCAGGCTACTTTACTGTGAATAAAAGAGCACAATGGAACCTGTATTCATGGTTCTTTCCTGCCCCAGATCGTCCTTTAAACAGTACATCACTGATAATCTGGTTACAAGGAGGTCCTGGTTATTCTTCCTTATATTCATTGTTCGAAGAAATTGGCCCATTACAGTACGAATTTTATAATAAAGGTAAAATTGTTTTTACTAAATTGGCTTGAAATTATCTTTTAGTTTATAATAATATGCCCAATTTTCAGTGGTTAAGTCGAATATTACATGGGGATCAGATTACTCGCTTCTCTTCATTGATAATCCAGTAGGGGTTGGATTTAGCTACAGTGAGAGTGGAGAATACGCAACTAGTATTGATGAGGTAATGGTTTTTCTCTCTAATTTTCATCAGTGCTTGTAATTGTTCTCTGCTTGTAATAAACCTATGTCTACCTTCCCTAACCTATTGTGTCAATCACCTTTTTTTTGAGGGAGGACAATTATCCAATGACTTCTCTCGCCTTGGGTTAAGAGAGAGGGAGTATCAGACTCTTACTGACTAAAAACCACCCCGTTCCTACTCCTGATTTTCGAGTCGGAGCCCCGACACTACACACACTACACACACATATGGTTACCGCAAACCACGTGAAAGTCATCGAACCATCTGGTTGGAGAGTGTTTCACACTACGCCTTACTGGAATCTGCTCTACGACATATTTTATCGGCTCCTGCTCATTCGTCAGCTGTTACAGCTTAATGCTACTTCAAATTAGGTTCAAAGTCCCAAGGAGTGAGTCAGTAACTTCTGTTCTCTTCAGAATTATCTCATCACGCATCAACCATTTTGTGACTGTATTCTTGCAACTGGAAAACCTACTTTATAAAAGTTTGTGTTCTTACTGACTCCTTTACCAAGTAGCTGTACGATATCATTGTACTATAAAAAAATATAATAATCATTCGGTTTGTAGGTTGGTCAATGTCTTCTAAATCTGCTCCTTCAGTTCCTAGAAGTATTTCCAGAATTGAAGACTGCACCGTTGTTTATCGCTGGAAAGTCGTATGGCGGAAAGTACGTTACGTCTTTCGGACGCTACATACACAGAAATAATCTGGACCCGGAAAAAAAGAAAATAAATTTAAAGGTAATACTATCGTCTAACTTACTAACAAGCTATAAAAGACAGTAATATTTTTGATTTTCTTTAAATCAATATACACGATTATGGTTAAGATGGGTGTATAAATAAATATCTGCTACTTTTTTGCATTTTATAATATTGTATCCCTTTTTTGAGGGGGAAAATTATCAATCGTTTTACCAACCTCCAACCTGGGTGAGGCGAGAGGGAGTATCAGACTCTTACTGACTAAAAACCACCCCGTTCCTACTCCTGCACTTCGAACCGGAGCTACGGCAACCCGTTAAGCCCTCCATAGCTCCATACCGGCATCAGCTCTATTGTGCCCCATCTGTGGTAGACTGATGGCTCACTGAGGCGCGCGCGGAAAGCGACGCGCCGTACGCTCGGGTTTGGCTCTGGTCGGTCGGCGAGTTACCCGTGCTCGCCGTCCGCAGGCCCGTGGTTATGGTGGCCGGAGATCATCTCGCGATCTCCGACGCCTGGAGTGTCTTCCGCAATGGTTAGGACGTGAGGAGTTCCGTTCCCATACGGGCCTCACCTCCTCCTTCGCTAGCATAATATTGTATCTCTCTCTATATATCTGTGTAGGATCATATTATTTTTATTACCAATTGATGCAGGGTCTGGCGATCGGTAACGGTTGGATAGATCCACCAACACTGCTGCACCATTCCGAGTTGGGATTACAATTAGGACTCATAGACAAAACTCAAGCGGACATGATCCATTATATGGAAAAACTGGCTAGAATGTATTGGGCTAATGGCAAATTTGAGTTTTATGAGAAGGTGAGACTAAAATACCTACTAATAGATTTTATATTACTGATAATATAAATGCCAGTTTGTGAGTGATATTGTGTGTACGTACGGCCAACGGTCAAAAGTCCATTGCCACCGTAAGACTACTATTGGTTGCGCTGCAGCGCTTATACACACATGCACACGCATATTTTTATCCGTGTGCATACGCGTGCGTGTGTGTACGCACGCGTTTTTATGCACATTCATATGAAATTACTTACGCATTGCCGTGTGAACATCACTCACGGTGGCAGTGGACTTTTGACCTTTGACTGTACATACCTATAAAGAAGAAAGAAAAGAAAGAAAGAAAAACCTATGTTTGTTACTCAACCACAATAATACGACTGAAGGGATTGGGATGAAAGGAACAGGAGTTTTCGGTTTGAAATAACACACAAGCTCCAGAAGCCGCTGGCAAAAGCTAGTAGATCCAAATTTGACTAACTAATTCCTTACTTATAACTAAGGATAATTTTGTAACTCCTTTATTCCAGGCAGCGCAAGCAGGAATGGATATGTTGCATGCTTTTGCACCGATTAATCTTAAAAACATATTGGTAGCCCTACCACAAGAGTCGGAATTCGTTAAAGATTACGAGGCTTATTTAAATAGACGTGGCGTACAACGGGCTATGCACGTTAAAAGAATGGATTATTCATATTTCAACCCTGTTGTTGAAAGGGAATTAAAAAAAGAAAGGTATCATACTTCCAAACCATGGCTGGAGGTGTTACTGGATTATTATGGAGTTATGTGTTACAAGTAAGTTCCTTAACATGTCCGGTTGCCCCGCACTAGGATTTTCTCCTGTGTCGTGGGTGCGTTTACAAACATACAAGTTCATATGTACAATGACACCCAGACCCGAAACAACAATTTGTGGATCACACTTACTGCTGCTCCGTGCGGAAATCGAACCCTCGACGTGTTGCGCGGCAGTCAGTTGCCCAGCCACCGCGTTAACCGTGCAGTCGCATGTCAAAGTCAGTATGCATGTCGTTTCTTTGTGTTTTTTTTCTATATCTGTATAAATAAGTGTATTTATTTGTTCTTTTTTTTTAATTTTGTATTTTATTGTATCTGTGTGCGTGCCTACTGTCGAATAAATGATTTTTCTTTCTTTCTTTCTTTCATGTTGCGCAAAAAGCTACTAGGCGGATTTCGATATTTTTTTTTACAATAATAGATTAGTTATAGTCTCGAAGAACACATTGCATTCTTATCATGGGACTATGTTCCTTACTAGTTAAATATTATTGTAAATTGATCAATTTGCTTCTAGTGGACAACTAGATGTTCTGATTGGATACGCTCCATCAAAGAACACATACAGGAGTTTGAATTGGACAGGGACGCAGGCATATAGAGACGCTAAGAGAGTACTTCTTCTCGATCCAGATAGTGGCGATATTAATTCGTGAGTATTGATATAATATGCCGTGCCAAGAAGGCACGACAGAGTAAAAACCAAGTCTATTGATCCCAAGGATGTCGTTAAGCTGACTAAGAGATTGCATGTAGTGTAAATTAGATCGGTAAATCCTGGCCCCGACAGACAAAAAATAAATACGACAATAATGAGTTGGAACAAATGTTAAAAGAATTTCTTGACGTTTAACTGAAATATTTGGAATCTATCAAAAAATTAATTACACAGGGCTGAATATTATTACTAGACTTTAAAAATCCGCAGTATTCCATTTTTGTTTGTCGAGGCCCTATTTACTATGGAAGTCTAGCGGTCTCCTTTAACTGGACTGGGCAGTAGCGCTCTTCAATAAACCTGAACTTTTTGGAACTGCAATCTCTAACCCGTTTTTCAAGCTTAAAGATTAGGGTTTATTCGTAGAGATGGTCTATAGTCCAACAGAGGATAGTTATGGGCTGTGGTGTTGGTGATGGTAAGCGATCAGCGCCGCCCATGGACACCCGCAACACCAGATGAGTCACAGGTGCGTTGCCGGTCTTTTAAAAAGGAACACCCTCTTTTCTTGAAGGTTTTAAGGTCGTATATACCGCCGACGACAGATCATTCCACAGTTTTGCTGTGCGAGACAGAAAGCTACGTGAGAAGCGCACAGTTGTAGCCTGCCAACCATCTATATGATGGGGATGCGTATGCTGTCGTGAGGGTCGATGGCAAAAAGATGCGGCAGGTATCAGGTCAAACAATTCCTCAGAGCACTCCCCGTGGTATAAGCGATAGAAAATGTCTTGTTCTACTGCTTTCGTGTTTCTGTGTTTGAATTTATCTATCTGTGTATTCTGTGCATTTAAAATTTGAAATGTATTTTTGTTCAAGTCATTTTGGTAAATAAATTACTTTTCTTTTTCTAGGTTTATGAAAGAAGGCGGCAATTTCATGGACGTACTGGTCCGTGGTGCAGGACACATGGTGCCCAAAGACAAGCCACGCGCCGCCAAGCAAATTATTGATATTTTCATCAACAAGTTCAAATAAAAATATTTCTATTAATTATATAGAGTTCAATATACTTTCACGGTTTTATTTCACTTTATAGTTCCCAGAACCCACTCCTATGGTTAAACGGTCTGATTAAGGTGGCAGAGAGCTGTGAGGTGCAGGTCAATCGTTTCTCACCGGCCTCATTGGAAGTCATTGGGGGAAGCCTGCGTTCAGCAGTGGGCGTTTTGTAGCTGATATGATAAGGAATGATTCAAACTCGTCCTTATTGTTACAATCATATTGTTTACTTGATCGTTATTATAATAAATGAAAATCCCGGTTTACTTTTTTAACTGTAAAGTCATGATGTAACTTTATACACAGAAAGGCGATGATTAAATAAAGTTTGCAGTCGTAATAATGACTATTCTGAAATCCGACAAAAGCTAGCAAAGTAGCAAAGTAGAACAGAGATGACATATTAGCTATTAAATAAGTTAAAAATGCTATTCGTTGTCACAGCCCTATTGTTGAAATGCTATAACATGTGCAGCCCATAGCAGTGCCGTGGCGTTACCAGTATGTTACCTCTGCAAGAAAATGTAGGGGCAATTTCTTTCGACATTCTGTTTTAGTTTAGTGTCTTTATATTAATCGTAATGTTTTTGTGTAACGTAAAATATAGAATAACACATTTTGATGTAAAAAGAGTTATACAGGCGTTCATTTGTATTCGCTATAAAATCTACTTTTTACCAGATATGGTACGAGTTCCATGTTATATACCTACCTGAGAATAGAGACCCAACGTTAACCATGATTTTATAACATTAACAAGCAAAATAACTCAATCATGACGTAATAAATTAAAAAGCCATCCCGTTCTTACTCCTACACTTCGAATCGGAACCCCGTTAAACCGCCTCTTTGTTTCTTTCGGGAGGGGGGATCATCCAACGTCCGTACATGCGAGGTCATTGCGCTTTCGAACCCACCAGCTAAAAAGAAGCAAAGCCTTCTTTCTAAGAAAATGCCCTTAGTCTAGTAGCGGACTTTAATGGGCTGTTGATTAATAAAGCGCAAAGTCTTATTAGCACAGCACAGTTATCAAAGGTAAAAGATATAGATTAAGTAAAACTTTACTTTTTTGCATTTAATGGACCGACGTTAGACCACTATCGCGTCTTGTGGTAAGCGATGATGCGGTCTACGATGGAGCAAGTCGTCCCATAAGCAACCTATTCACTCGGGCTTTGAAGATATCAAGGTTATCCCTTCAGGAAATATAGACTCTGGCAAAGAATTCCACTCCTTAGTAGTACGCACATGCAAGCTTGATGCGAAGCGTTTCGTGCGTGTGGGTGGGATATCTACCATGAATCTTACAAAGTAAATCTACCTATAGGCGATATAAAAATAATACAAATGCCATAGGTACTGTGCATATATGTTCATTTCTGTTGTATAACATTTTTTGCACGTCTGTTTTATTTTCATTGCAAAATTCTCCACAAATTATAACATAGTTGAAAAAATTGTTTGGGCAGTTATAATCTTTAGTATAAATTCACTAAATGTTTTGACCAACGTAGTTTTTAATGACTTTATGTTGTTAATATTTACACCCGCGGTTTCACCTGCTGTTCGACTCTTATTTGGCTCGTAGCGTGATGTCCTCGGTAAATGGACTTACGAACACAAAAAGTATTATTCAATTCGACCTAGTAATTCTGGAGGTTGTGGAGTTCAAACGAACAAACGCTTTACCTTTATAATATTTAGTATATATTATGATATTAGTATAGGTACTATATAATGTCACGGCCATGAGTAGCGGAACTTCAGTCAGTCATTATGTTTGGCACAGTGTCATTATTATTGTACTTCTGGTTGGTAGACTATCGACTTTTTCATTCTTCTCATTTACTTAAGATAATTAATATTTATGCACCTTATTATATTTGATTCAGTGCAACGGTGCTATGCGGTGTAGTGCCTCCAACACAAGACGGAGAAGGAGAACCTCTCATTTTAACTCCGTACATTAAAAATGGTGAGATAGAAAAAGCTAGAAACCAATCCGAAGTGGACCCATCCCTGTTCGCAGGCGTCAAGAGTTACGCAGGATATTTTACTGTTAACGAAACGGCGAAATGGCATCTATTTTCTTGGTTCTTCCCCGCACCTGATTTTAATCCTCCAGACAAAACTCCATTGATAATTTGGTTACAAGGAGGACCTGGAGGATCGTCCATGTTTGGATTATTCGAAGAAATTGGTCCTATACAGTATGTCAATAATAAAATAGGTAAAATCATGATAACTGGTTGGCGATTTCAAACCTATAATTAGAAATTATAAGTCCAGGTTTCCTCATGATGTTTTGCTTCACCGTTTGTCAGTGGTATCTAAAAAATCTTATAAAGTACATATAACTCGGAAATTTTTTTCTTGGCATTGGTACTTGCCGTTGGTGGGTTTTGCCGCACCCTCATGCATGAAGAGTGGACGTCTTAACCTCCTGGCTACCACAACATCAGTTTAGTTTGCATGATCATAAATCTTGTACTTTTTTTTCCTATTATAATATCATCTGATTCATTTCGTTGCGGGAACCAAGATAGTTACTCATGTCCCTGGGACGCGCCGGACTTCAGCGTGCCGGTGTTTTCATGGTTGTATCTACTGTAGATCCTGGCTTAAATGAGTTGCAGCGGTTTTGAGAGGTTGTGGCGGGCTTGTAAAAATACTGTTAAATTCAAACGATGCAAAAACTTGTCATGAGATTCGGTATATTAGTTCTTGTATTTATTTTGTTCTGAACAATGTTTTACTTCTGTTGACACACATTTATTGACTTTCAGAGGGCAGGGTTTTTGGTAACTGGGGTTATCATTACTCGCTCCTCTTCATTGACAATCCAGTGGGTACTGGGTTTAGTTTTACTGAGACTGAGGAGTACGTGACCAATGAAGACCAGGTGGATACATAATTTGTTTGCTTTTAATATTCTTGATCAAACCAATTGTCATCCTTACTAATATTATAAATCGAAAAGTGAGTTTGTTTGTTTGTTTGTTCCACTTTCACGCCGTAACTACTAAACCGATTGCTTTGAATTTTTGCAGACGTAAAGTTTGAATTCCGTATTAAATAATAGGGTACTTTTTAATCCGGAAAAATTGATATTCCCGAGGGAAAACAAAAATATTGGTATAGATGGCGCTGTGTGTATTGGTATATGTCTTATAGGCTACTTTTTATCCTTTTGTGACGCGAGCGAAGCCTAAAAGCTAGTGTTTATATAAAACGTAACTGAATTTTAAGACGCTCTCAACAATATAACTACGAACTCATTTTAAAATGACAGAGATAGCACGATAATTAAATCGAGTAGCGGTTCAGTATTCTCGCGATAGGTTCATGTTTGACATGTTAAAAATATTATATACGTACCTTATTACATTTTTAACATTTTTTTATGGCATACTACCGGTAAACGAGCACACGGATCACCTGATGGTAAGCAATCGGCGTCGTCCATGGACACCTGGAACACCAGAGGTGTTACAAGTGCGTTACCGTCCTTTTGAACTACCAAAGTTAAACTTATATGTGTTTAATGACTTTTGCAGGTTGGACAATGTCTTTTAAATCATATACAACAATTTCTAGAAGTATATCCAGAACTAAGAACTGCACCGTTGTTCATCGCTGGTGAATCGTATGCAGGGAAGTACATTCCAGCTTTTGGGCATTACATTCATAAGAGCAACGCAGACGGAGGAAAACATATAAATTTGAAAGTAAGTTAATAAATCCGTAACTTATTTGCTTATATTGATGCTGATTGATTGCCTTGTTTTTCGAGTGGTCGCAAGTGCAACTGCCGTGCAAGGGGTCTCGAGTTCGATTTCAGGGTCGGCCAAAGTATTACTGAGTTTTTTGAAAAAAATCTCAGTAATTCTCTACTACAGTTGCACTCAAAGAATATTAGATTTACTTTTAGTTAAAAGATAGTTATTCAGAAAAACAGTTAAGCTTTAAAGATCTAATAGTATAGTATAATTGACTTATTTGATGAGCAAATTTAGTGTGCAATGAATTTACAGTTAAAGGATTCTATATCACCCATTTTCATTCAATGCAGGGTCTCTTAATCGGTGACGGGTGGACAGATCCACCAACACTGCTGCACTACTCTGAGTTGGGCGAACAATTAGGATTTTTAGAAAAGGAGCAAGCAGAGGAGGTTAATGCTTTGGAAGAACAAGCTAGGAAGTATTGGGCAGCGGGCAATTTTGATTTGTATGCGAAGGTAATAAAGTAGATATTATAAAAGTACTTATAAATACTTAAATTTTTCTATAAAAGCTAAGCATTTATAGAAATCTTATACTATTATATAAAGCGGAAGAGTTTGTTTTTTGATTGTTTGTTTGAACGCGCTAATCTCCGTAACTACAAGTATGATTTGAATAATTATTTTTGTGTTGGTTAGCGCATTTATTGAGGATGGCTATAAGCTATAAAACATCACGCTACGACCAATAGGAGCTGACCAGAGCGTGTGAAACCGCGCAGAAGTAGCTAGTGATATATATAAGCATATACAAAATTTCTACTCAATCGGTTGAAGATATCTGCTTCAAAATTAAGTTGCAAGACTTCACTTAACACACATACATTCAAGCTTGTTAAATAAAATTTTAAAGGAAAGACTCTATAGCCTAAGCAATAAGGTTTGATATTTTTTACTACCTTTCATGTTCATTACAGTATGCAGAAGAAGGACAAGAAAAATTCACGAGCTATGTACCGATTAATCTCTACAACTTTATATCGGAAACAATAGGAATACCTGATAAATATGCAGAATTTTTAAATAGAGAAGACGTACAAAAGGCTTTACACGTGAAGAAGATGAAATTTGAACCACAAAGTTATAATGTATATAATAATTTAATGAAAGACATGTACCATACGGTCAAACCTTGGCTGGAGGAGCTACTGGAACATTATGGAGTCATGTGTTATAGGTAAACCTTCTATAGTATTATTACCATTTATTTTAATCAATTACATAGATCATTAATACTTTAACTGCCAAGTTCAAAATGGTGAAAGTCAAACCTCCACTAGCGTCAGGCACCGGTGACTGACGTGGCGCTCTAAGGGTTAATTCACATCATTAATTACACATCAATTGTACGTAAAAAAATAAAACAATATACAAGTCAAATATTACTGAAATAACCCATCTCCCAATTTGAACAATAATTTCACATTAGCTAGTACATAAACCACTGTTGTATGGTTTTTTAATGGCATAATCCGGTAAACGAGCATCGTTCGGCGGGTCATCTGATGGTAAGCAATCGGCGTCGCCCATGGACACTTGTAACACCAGGGGCGTTACAATTTCGTTACCGATCTTTTGGGGATTAGGAGTTTGAGGATCGTTGGAGATTCAGGAATTGGGGAGATTGGGGAAGGGGAGGGTAATTGGGTCTTCGGTAACCTCACTCATACGACGAAACACAACGCAAGTGTGAATGTCTCGTTGGCCGATTGGTCGCAAGTGCGACTGCTGGGCACGGCGTCTCGGGTTCGAGTCCCGGGTCGGGCAAAGTATCACTTGGTGTTTTTAAAAAAATGTCAGTAGTAGCATGGAGTCTGGAATTGTGCCCGATACATGGCAATAGGCTCACCTCCTAATACATGGGACTCCTAACATAAATTGTGAAATGTGGGTGTTACATTGTACAGTGGTCTTAAGTGCCGTAATGTGCACCTATACCTACGCCATCGGGGATAAAAGGCGTGATGTTATGTTATGTGTATTTAATGATTTATTTATTTATTTAAGTGTGAGGGAGGCCATAGGCTATAAAACACCACGCTAAGGTCAGTAGGCGCTGAGCAGAGTGGGTAACACCACGTGAAAGTAGCTAGTGTTGAACACATAACATAACATAACATCACGCCTTTTTATCCTCGAAGGGGTAGGCAGAGGTGCACATTACGGCACTTAATGCCACTGTACAATGTAACACTCACTTTTCACTATTTATGTTATGAGTCCCATGTAATAGGGGGTGAGCCTATTGCCATATACCGGGCACAATTCCAGACTCCGTGCTACTACTGAGATTTTTAAAAACCCAGTAATACTTTGCCCGACCCGGGAATCGAACCCGAGACCCCTTGCCCGGCAGTCGCACTTGCGACCACTCGGCCAACGAGGCAGTCTAGTCTAGCTAGTGTTGAATAGATTAATAATGTTGAATTTATTATTCTCTTGAAGTGGACAACTGGATATCATCGTTGGGTACGCGCTGTCAACGAACACGTACAGGAGTTTAGAATGGTCAGGAGCAGAAGAATATAGAAATGCTGTTAGGTTACCATATTATGACAATACTAATACATTTATTGGGTAAGTAATCGTTCGATATCTTAAAAAAACTAAAATGGCATAAGTGTAAGGCATGTACTATTTTAGGTTTGTGAAGGAGAGCGGGAACTTCATGGATGTACTGGTGTCTGGTGCAGGACACATGGTGCCCGCAGACCAGCCTATCAACGCCCACACATTCCTTCTTTTGTTCATTAATAAGTTCCAATGAATACCTACTTCTCATCTATAGAGACTAGAAAGATACTGTAGAACATTATTTGTTCATTCTTATTATTAAGACGATGAGATTCAATGTAAAGGTAAACAGATATATTTTACTAAACGATGTCTTTTCTTCTAATTCCATTCTCAACGCATCAATGTCATTTAACCAACTTCACACTTCACTCTTCCAGTAATTCTAAAATTAAAGCAGATTATTATTTTAGTACCTAACACAAATTCTGTTTGAAATTGAATCACTCGACTAAACTGAATTTATACATTACAGAGACTGACTAATAGACACACGCAGTGTAACAGGATGTACCCAGTATTTGGGTCAGTCAGGTCAGTGGCGTTGAAAAAACATTTGGTATACTCCACTATTCCCAAACGCACTCTATTTACTTCGATATTTGCGGAACAATAGCTCTAAGCGACATGTCACGCTGCCAACATTTAGACTGTCAACTTTACATTGACGCGAATTGCTTATATCAACAATGACTATAGAACATTAAATCCCATTGAAAATTCGCTCAACAAACGAGATTGTGACCTAGTTGTCTGAATAATCCCTACATAAGCTAGATATCCTGTTATCCCGAAGCACGCGAGTGGCGGGACACATCGCTGGCTCGCATCCAAGCTGTCCGATGGCCGCCTCATCTCGTTGCTGCTCGACATAGCCCGTTGGGTCTAGTTGTATCGCGTCACATGGGACAATGCCATGCCGTCTCGGTGTCAACCCGCTATGACTCCAATTTGCTATAAAGCGGTGGCGCACCGCACTCACTTCGCTGCCGCCGCCCGTTTTGCGGCGTCGTTAAAATTTTATGTTCAATACGGCTTTGATAGTAGGGTAAAGCTAACATTATGGAGGAAATTAAGATCTATCTCTTTCTCAAGTGCTTTTTCAAACCGTTTGCTATTTTTATTCGAGTGACTGACGTGTGCCTGTCAGTTGAGACATTCGGCCGCATGGCATGTGACGTTCCGATGCATTTAGCATTTGCGTCACAGGAAATGGAAAAGATATATTTTAATCTATTTTATTACTATTAGGATGATTAGGTACTAAAATTAATTTGTTCAAGAAAGTAATTAAAATATTTCGAATTGGTTTCGTTCGGATACGTTTGGTTATTTGAAATTTTAATCGTAATTAAAGTTAAGCAAACAGATTTGTGGTATGTCTTCAAGGCGGTCTGTGGGCAGGCGGCGGCGGGGGGTTGGAGTCAACTCAGCGATTGTGATCCACTCACTCGCTAAAAGGGTAGAAAGATCCCGTCGCCCACTCGTTGGGTTGGGAGCCCTTGAAATAGTTTTCATGTCTATTTTAGGCTTGTATATTATAATGCTGTAATATGGATTTTCAACAAATTTAATACAGGCGTAGTCAATACTCTTTGTGCTAAGGAACCTGCATTGAGAAATAGTTCTTATAATTCATCTTGAATTGCAAGACTTTTTGACAATAATACCTATTTGTGAAAGTTACTAGGAATAACAACATTCAATAATAGATAAAATAAACCTATACATAAAATTACATCTCATAATTATCACAATTTCTTGTCCAATACTCTATATAAATACTATCTCTATAACCAAAAACCCATTTCGTAAGCGTTTTTAGTCCTCCATCTTATACATAGGTCGTTATTTCATGAGATATCGTATAAATACATCGCTAAAATGGCCGATGCCTCAGTTTTATGCCCATGGGGGCAGTGCTGGCTCATTATCTGCAGCTCTAGAGGATCCATCCCGTCACGAACATGATAAACTCCCAACATTATATATATCGTCTAAATATTTTGGCTTAAGATTACGGAATATTTTAGTTGAAAATGAATCACTATTTTCTAGCAATTTTGTTATTAATATTCTGTTATTCGGCGAGAAACTATCAAGTAAATCGAAGTGATTAGAAAGTTCGACTTGTTTCAAAACAGACATGATGGATGCTGAAAAGAAAGGAGACGCGGGGAGGTCTATTTTCCGCAGTGGAAGAACACGACTGCCTCGTTGGCCGAGTGGTCGGAAGTGCGACTACTGGGCAAGGAGTCTCGGGTTCGATTTCCGGGTCGGGCAAAGTATTACTGGGTTTTTAAAAATCTCAGTAGTAGTACGGAGTCTGAAATTGTGCCCGGTATATGGCGGCATGCTCACCCCCTATTACATGGCACTCATAACATAAATAGTGAAAAGTGGGTGGTACATTATACAATGGCATAATGTGCACCTCTGCCTAACGCTTTGGGGATAAAAGGCGCTGTACACCACGCGCGTCGGACATTGAAACAGTTTATGTGAGGAATCCATATCTATTCACACACAAAACTAGAAATCATAATTTCAAATAAAGAAAATGAAATTTTCAAATTTCAAGTATAAGTGGGTATATACCCAACCACTTATACTTAGATCAAAATCGAAAAGCTACAACCTGTATCTTATATACTAGCTACTTCCGCGTGGTTTCACACGCTCTGCTCAGCTCCTATTGATCGTAGCGGGATGTTTTATAGCCTATAGCCATCCTCGATAAATGCTCTATCCAACACAAAAAGAATTATTCAAATCAGACTTGTAGTTACGGAGATTAGCGCGTTCAAACAAACAAACAAACAAATGAAAAAACAAACTCTTCCGCTTTATACCTCTATAATAGTCTTCTATATAAAATTAAATCTATAAGTCTACGCCTCTAAGGTAAAGGGCTTCGGATGTCTTTCACAAGTGCTTGCACAAGTAAGCTGTTGAGCCAAGATGTCATTACAGGCTTAAAATAGAGGGAATTTAAATTAAACTCTGTTGAAGGAAGGTATTATAAGGAAACTGCTGTATTACCAGCCATTGATGGCTAGATGGAGTGTTGTAGACGCTTGTTATTAATGTACAGGTTGTGGTTTTTTACAATATTAGTATTTTTATTTATGGTAAAGAAAAAAAGAAAGAAAAACCATTTATTTCTGCGCAAAACACACATAACATAACCAAAAATAAAATAAAATAAAATAAAAGCTAAAAATATAAAATGAAGTGAAAGTCTTGTCCATGGTCCACAGACTTATTATTTACTGAAATTATAGAATACTTAATATCTAACATTATCTGTGGACCATAGACAAGGAACACCCTACTTACTTCATGCATGCATTTCACAAAATTGGATGGAGTATATTATTATATAAAAGTTTAATTATATAAAACAATACGCATCAATTATAGGTACTTGATGCTAGCGTAACCCCTTGCCCCAATATTGTGCGTCATGTATGCGTGCGCAAAAACAGGATATGCTCAGCAACTTCTGCGACTTAACCTCGAGAGGTTAGCGTCGCAGCGCTGATTTTCAGCACATCCCTGGGTGACGTAATGGCGTCCCGCCAGCTTCACTGGCTGGACGTTGGCTAATAGTCTGGCTCATTGGCTGAGTCATCGCAAGTGTGACTGCCGGGCAAGGAGTAAGGGGTTTGATTCCCGGGTCGGCCAAAGTATGAATGGTTTTTTTTTTAATTCTCAGTAGCAGCACGGAGTCTGGAATTGTGCCCAGTATATGGCAATAAGCTCACGCAGTATTACATGGGACTCATAACATAAATAGTGAAAACTGGGTGTTACATTGTACAGTGGCATAATGTACACCTCTGTTGTTATGTTATTTTTTCTAAACGTTGCCCTACATTCAGATTTTCTCCTGTGTCGTGGGTGCGTTTACAAATATTCAAGTTCACATACACTTGACACCCAGACCCGAAACAACAATTTGTGGATCATACACAGAGTTGTTCCGTGCGGAAACCGAACCCGTGATACGTTGCGCGGGCAGCCGGTTGCCCAGCCACCGCACCAACCGTGCAGTCATTGGTTCAAAAAAAGGGGGTAAATGACAATGAAAATAAAAAAGGGGGTAAATGACCATGAAAATAAATGGGTAAATAAATGACAATGTTATGAATAGCATAAGATGAAAAATGCATCGAAATAAAAAAAAACAAAGAGTGAAAAGAAATATAAAACTACTAACATTAATAATAGGTTTTGAATTCAAATTCCGAAATTAAAAAAGAAAACAAAATAAAAATATATTATAAACATGTAATATCAAACAGTGTTTGTACTAAGGCCAGCTATTCACAATAACCCTTCAGTATTGCTACTTGAATCGACTTAAGTACTTATTATACCAAAAATAAAGCCAATTAATGAATCCCTTCTAAAGGTTACCTTTTATAGGAAGGTTTGCCTAAACACTTAATGAACGCCATTTTGTAAAGAGTTTAAAATAAAAAGATTTAGAATTTAGGAACGTTTACTTTACAGCAAGCGGTATTAAGTTTAAAAATATTTAATAGTAGGTGACCCGGCAGACTTTGTATCGCCTAAAACTGTTTTATCATCTTTCAAACCTTCCCTGGACTTTCAAAAACATTTCAAGACCAAAATTACCTTAATCGGTTCAACCGTTCTTGAGTTTTAGCGAGACTAACGAACAGCAATGCATTTTTATATATAAGAAGATTAATTAATTAATTGGTTTGTGATTAATAAAAGATTTGTAAATCAAAAACAAAAAAAAAAACATACATTCATACATACATAACTTCACGCCTGTCTCCCATGGGGGTAGGCAGAGACTAAGGAACGCCAATTACTACGATTCTTACTTCTTCGAAATTGTTTGTTCTTCTTAAAAACAAACAATTTCGAAGCAAACAAATAATGGACTTAAAAAACAAAATATAATAATCAGCCAATCCAAATTACAATTCATATTAAACAAAAAAATAATTATGCCATTTTTTCAAGTGTCTCAAAAACAAGCCGGTACAAATTCGAGGTATTACTCAAATCAAAACAAAACATTAAGGGTCATTAAGATTTGATAAGAGTGTCCTTTTAAAAGGCCAATCAGGAGACAGCAACATTTTTGGCTGTATTTTTAATTAAATTGAAATATTCATTCATTGTACTTACCGCCGACATTTATCTAAAGAC